AGAGAGAGAGAGAGAGAGAGAGAGAGAGAGAGAGAGAGAGAGAGAGAGAGAGAGAGAGAGAGAGAGAGAGTACTATCTCCTGTGTCCTTTTTGCCTGCTGCTGCAGAGGTTCTAATTTCTGATCGGCTTTCGGAACCTCTGGTGCTTTTTGGTGCAGCTGTTTGATAGGGCCGGTGTACTGTACGGCGAGCTTGCACGGTTTGTTCTTCGCTTACTGGGATTCAGAACCAGGAATAGAAAGGCCAAAGCTCTTCCAGGTGGCAGCGGGGAGAAGGCTATTCCAGGTGCCTCTTCGCCAGCAGCTGTGGAGAGGCGGCCTGGGGATGCTGGCGGTTGGGACGGCCTGTGGTCGGATGGTACCCAGTGAAACCGAATTGCGTTGGACGAGTTTTCAGTTCGTCCTTTTCAATCAGTCTGTGTCGTACATCTCGTCTTCTTGAATGGTTGCATGATTGACTGTCTGCTTTCAGGCATGCAGGAATGACTCCGCCATCAGCCAGCTGGCTTATCTTTCGTCTGCGGTGGGATGCTGTGCAAGGTACGACGCGCTTCTCTTGAGCAGCGCTGTTTTCTACCTGCTTTTTAAAGAGTGTGCAGCTCAAAGCGATTGCCGATACTTGTCATGGCGGCATCGTTTCAACTGCTCTTTGTGGATTCGGCGCCCTTTCTATTGCTCTCCAAGCAGAGTGCAAGGAGAAGCAGAATGCAAGGGGAGAAGCAGAATGCAAGGGGAAGCAGAAGCCCCCCCTTGTATTGCTCGGCAAGCAGAGTGCAAGGAGAAGCAGTGACCGAAGCACCGGTGTTTTTTTTTTTTTTGGCTTAGGGTTTCGCACAGGTGATTAATTCATCGAAACCATATCTCCCATATATGGGATCTAGGGATGCTATGTGATCTGAGTTATCGGGGGGGGTAGGGTGGGGGTGCGCGGTGGTCCTTGGGCACCACAGAGCCCTAAACTCCAGGTGGTCCCCTTGCAACCGGAAAGCATTTGACTGTGTGCGGTGCTGTTGTGGGGAAGTGTCTATAGTGTGGAAACGTGGAAAGACTAGAAAGTTGAAATAAACAGACAAGCGTGCTTTGCTCAATGAGCGTCGCAAGAGCCGTGTAGGTTTTTGGCATCTTTTAGAAGATTTGCCTGCTTCAGTCTCTCCACTTCAGGTAAAAAAAAATGCCCATGCGAGGACTGTTGTGACCGAGTCTGGGCACATTTGTGAGTCTGATCTTCTGAGTACTCTGCCTGTAGAATGCGCATCTCTCTCGTCTCTGGTGTCCAGTCCCAGTACCATGGGCTGATTCGTTAAAGACGTGAGCTTTTTTTTTTTTTTTTTTATGTAGCATTCCCTGTTTTCTTGCGCGTACGGGTATTCAAGGAGTCTCATCTTGCTGCCTTCGTCATTGTCGTTTTAGTGGTCTTTACGTGTCCCCTTGATGAGATGAGAAACACTGCTTACCTCAGTCTGGAAGTGTTTTCAGAATCCCTTTCGGCATGCCTCGGGAACGTTGGAACCTTGTCCTATCCTATCTGGGCAGATTGCGATCGAAGCACGTGTTAGCCCTACGAACAGCCTGTATGAGCATGGCGCAGGCAATGGTACAGTCAGTCACTCGTGCACTCTCTCGCTCACTTGGTCCATCCTGTGTCATCAACGCCGGCATGGGCAGTCTGTGTCGCGACGGTTCCATTGCCTGCTAGAAGTGAAGCTGGTTGGCAAGTGTATACGAGTCCATAGGTTCTGGCTGTATTCATGTCGATATCCGCTATAAATAGACTACGATGATTCCACTGGCATGTTGATATTCCCTGAGAGACTAGATAGATTCTTGCTGTATTCATGTTGATATCCACTGAGAGCCTGTATTCATGTTGACATCAACTGAGATACTATGTGATGCTGCCTGCGACAATGACCGTTGAAAGTACTCACAGGGACCGTCGACATGCACGAAGAGACGATGACCGTTGAAAGTACTCACAGGGACCGTCGACATGCACGAAGAGACTATGACCGTTGAAAGTACTCACAGTGATGCTGCCTGCTCCAGTGATTGTAGAGAGTTACTCACAGGGGGTGCCCTACTGAGAACATGGCTGCATGCGAACATTGCAAAGTCTATGTGTACTTGGCATGCAGTGGGTTGGATGAAGGGAAGAGGAGTGTACGTTTATGCTAGCCGAGAGATTCGTATTGCTGTTGACGTGCACTGTAAGATACTATATGTGATCCTGCCGGCTGCTTTGACTGTAGAGAATACTCACAGGACTAGGAGTACCTTTATGCGGACCGAGAGACTGATGGTTCCTTTTGGCATGCACTAAGGGACTATGTGATGCTGCCTGCTACCTTGACTGTAGAGAGTACTCGCAGTGAGGACATGGTTATGCTGCATGGTTATGTACTTGCCACTTGGCACAAGGTCGGTTCGATGGAGGGAATGGGAGAGTACCTTTATTATGCGCTTAAGCCAGGAGTGTGCTCCGGTTGTCGATCGTCTACGAAGCGGATCAGGTTGTGAGTGGAGGCTGCACCGGCATCCTGAACTGTCTTGTTGGGCCCAGCAAGTTTCCCTCTTGTGCCAGTTCCACTGTAGCTGTGGGTGAGAGCCGAAGGATACTTGGTTGCTGGGACGGCGGACAGACACACTACCGTCTTCACCCGAATAGAACGCCCGGTCATTATAGCGGTATCTGGGGCAGTTTTCTGTCTAGATGCAGCGATAATGACCAGGCGTTCTATTCGGGTAAAGACCGGAAGGGCGCCAGCTGGAGGGGAATGAAAATGGCCATCGTGCTCAGGCATCAGTCGGTTGAAACTTGAAAAGCAGGAGGGGCTTGAATGAAAATGGCCATCGTGCTCAGAGGCATCAGTCGGTTGAAACATGAAAAGCAGGAGGGGGCTTGAATGAAAATGGGCATCGTGCTCAGGCATCAGTAGGTTGAAACGTGGAAAGCAGGAGGGGCTTGAATGAAAATGGCCATCGTGCTCAGAGGCATCAGTCGGTTGAAACKTGAAAAGCAGGAGGGGCTTGAATGAAATGGGCATCGTGCTCAGGCATCAGTAGGTTGAAACGTGGAAAGCAGGAGGGGCTGGCTGGCTCTGTTAGAGAAAGGGAGAGGGCTTGTAATGTTGGTAGGGTTTTGTTGGTTCGGGCACATGACCAGGTACTGAAACAGAAGAAAGATCGCGGTTCGGGGATGTGACTGCATGTGGGGCATGCACACAGGACAGGGTTGCTTTATCTTCCAGATACCAGAAGGCAACAAAAGAAGAAGGAAAAGGGAGGATGGAAGAGAAGGAGATGACGACGACTTGTCATGTGCGGCGAGGGGCCTCAAGGAGGGCTGAGTTGGTTGAGCCATGTCCATTTGGAAGTGTACAAGTGAATTAATTCACAGGAAGGGGGGTGGAAAGGGTTAGGCTCATCAGAGTTCTCGAGGTGGTTCTCTCAAGTAATGGGGGACGTGGGATGAAAAATGTGCGAGACAAAAAGGCGACACGTGAAGACGATCACTGATGGCCACCAACTGAGCTCTTGTGGACTCCCGCAGTCCGGTCCTATGGACTGTCTCTGCTGTGCGTCCCAGGCTGTCTGCTGACGCCATGGTTCTGTGGAATCTGTCTCTGCGGGCTATCCAAGAGGATATACTTCTCTCAACGAAGTCGACCAAATGACGTTTGCAATCTTGGCATCGGCAATCTGCCTGCAGGGCAGGCTCTTATTGCAACAGCCAACAAGAGAAAGTGAGAGGGGGTCACACGCACACACATGCACTAAAAGACACACACACACACAAGCACAGAGAGAGAGAGAGAGAGAGAGAGAGAGAGAGAGAGAGAGAGAGAGAGAGAGAGAGAGAGAGAGAGAGAGAGAGAGAGAGAGAGAG